TCCCTCTGTCAAGATCTAGAGTAACGGATTTCTCTTCAGTTCCCATAACATTCCCCGCGCAGATCGTTCGGTTCGATAATCGAGGTTTCCGTTTGCTCGAGTTCTCTCGCGTGTCGAATCAACGGGAAACACGTCGTACGCGCAGATAAAACGATTGCATAATGTCGAGCAGCTATGCTTAACGAAATTAAGGTTCGTGCTTTACCGTCGGAGTCTATATTGCCACATATACACGAGTTTACGGTTGCCCTACGTAAATAGTTGTCCGCTTTATGTACAACGCTACCTTACGCTAGGTTTCTATCGTCGATACTTATCAGATTGCGTTACAGTGGAGTTTAGTCGAGTGAGAGGCACCATAGAGCTTGTTTTATATCGTACGTTTGTACACGCTGAAGCGCGTTTTACAGAGTATTTTTCGCCGCCCGACGACGGCGGAGTCCGACAACATGGCTGCCCGCTAGGAAACAAGCGACCGCCGGCGTCGAGATATCGAATCTGTTCTCACCGAAGTGAAAATCGAATTAAAAGTAAGACATTGGGAGGAATCTTTCAATTTTCAACCTGTTAATGTAACTATAGGAATAATTAAATGATTGAAATTATTGCGATGAAGATTTTTCGGTGAGTAAACGAATATTTGTCATTTTCGACTCACAGGTTTATCTACTGTGGCTCATTTAATGAGTTTATTATCAAAAGGTTGCTTTTAGAACTCATTAAGGAACGTTGCAAAGAAATTTTTGATGAATTTCAACCCCTTACGCTCAAACGTACATTGTTTAACTAATTTCTATCCGTCCTTCCGAAAGGTTTGCCGAATGTATTGCATTTAATTCGTGTATTAAGAATTTGAATTAATTATTACTTTGATATTCTCTGAATGCACATTCAAGGATGTAATAAATTCTGAAACCAAAATAACGCGATATTCATTTGACGGATACAAAATGGAGAAAAGATCACTGCAGTAATTAGTCGAGTGTTCATTTCATTTTATACGAAGTTACTTCGAAAAGATTCCTTATTAATTCTTTCTGTAAAGTTTCGAAACTTTCATTATAATTTATTCGAAATCATATTATACCTTACGCCGAACAAACAACGCGAGAAACAATCCCAGAATATTTTTACGTCGTTCATTACCGAATATTACCGGAAAAGTGTTGCATCGCAAATAATTCTCGGCGAAACGCAACACCCGCGTTAAAATTAAAAAATTGGACACACGATATTCAACGTTACGAGAACTGTTAATCGTGTGCTCTGGCGTTCGAGGTAATTGATTGGAAAAAAAAATCACCTGTTCCAGCCGCGCGTGATAAAATCGTAAATTCCTGGGTCGGGTATAAATCAAAAGCGATCGAGGAACTGAAAATAATGGAAATCGTTCGCAGCGATCGTTCGGTCAGACGAGAACAGAAGATCCTTAACAGTTGGTAGGTCGAGACCACTTTTATTTCAACTAAAACGAAACTCGTCGGCTACAATCCAAAATAACATCAAACACAACGAAAACGTAACAAAAGTTCCACTTCGTTTAACCGTGGATCACTGATCTCTCGTCGAAACGAAATCACATCGTCTCTGCTATGCATCGCGCAAAATAAAGGTCTCCATTATCCACGTAATTAGTGACATTATGAAATCATAAGATTGTACAATTTATAATATCTGTAGCATGATTTACTCATACTTTCCCTCTCAATAATTTTGAAAAAACATGACAAAGATTGTTCCCTTCACACTCTTAACATTAAAAAATCCCAAAAAGAATCCAGTTCAGCGATCGAGGGTTAAAACACAGTGGAAACGTAACCCTTCGTTCGTTCGGTCGAGAGAGCGCAAAGGGTTCCAGGAGACGGAATGTAAAAGTGTAATTCCCATTAAAAAAATACTCTTAAAAGTCGCTTCGCTTAAGAAAACCGTATTTTCCCACTACTACCGCTAAGAAGTATATATGTACAGAGTTGCGTTACGTTAGACTCTAATCACAATAGTTTTTATTTAGACGATAGAGTAATTATTTTCTTGCGCTTTCATATATATATTTATATTCATATATATATATATTTTTTTTGTTAGTTTTCAGTGCAATAAGTTCACTCGATCAACGGTATTCTAAAAGAGACTGGTCCTCCTCGCGCGTGCATCGACGTCGCTCTCGATCGAGTGCTCGAGAGCAGAATGCACACACTGCCGAGAGCTCGCGTGCTTCGCTTCTTAACGAAAACTCCGTACACCCGTTTACTTGTCTAACTGTTCAACCATTCGAGCGTAAAACGTTTTCGCGTCCGTCGGAGAAAATGCCTGTAGCGTTCCCTCCGCGAGATTCCACTCGGTCTGACGTCTCCCTTTGGTCAATTAACCCTTTGCCTTGTAATGACGCGTCAGGCTCGCGAAGAGTTCGAACGGAATTTAACAAATGTGTTTTCAATTTGAATTAAACGATGATCTCGCGTTATCAATGTATAAGTATATTTAAACAGACAGTTTTACTTTTTGTTTGAATATGTCAATCGCAATTAACCCTTTGCCTTGTAATAACGCGTCAGGCTCGCGAAGATTTCGAACGGAATTTAACGAACGTGAATATTACTCGACACTTTGCATTTGAATTAAACGATAATCTCACTTTTATCAATGTATAAGTATACTTTAGAGTAAACAGACATTTTTCCCTTTCTGTTTGAATAAGTCAATCGCAAAATAGTTGCGTCACGGCTAAGATAGGTGTTCAATCGCGGATTTCACGCGTTTAGAATTTTGTCGAAAGTGTAGAAGGTAGTAAAATATATTTGACAATTTGAGATGGTTCCCAAACTTAGAATTAAATAGAAACTGCTTCCATCTCCATCAGTTTACCGCGGCGATAAGTTTGAATTTTAAAGAAGTTCCTGCCTCATTTAAGAAGATAAATGATTCTCTTTTGTTCGAACATTCGTAAATTCACTTGCGAGTTTGATTCATTTGTACCGTGCACGATTTGTCGAGAAATCAGTGCAGCAACGGGTTCGAGACGATTCGAACGTTTTAGTTTCCTTTGTTCCGAACCGTGTATGAAAATATCTGCCTTCGGATGCTTCGGACGCGAGTGGGAAATAATTATGAGCGCAGACACCGGTTCGCGTGTAACGATAAGGGCACGGTGAATCTGTTCGCGCTTGAATGGTCGACGAAGAAGGTAGAGTAGAAAAAGAAAAGCTGACGTTTGATTTGCTACGCATTCACACGCCCACGCAGAGCCGCATAATATTAGCACGAGGAAATTCTGACTTGAAGTTTACGCATATATCTTACGGTGTCGATTAAAATTACGGTATTTTACGTGCCGTACCGGATAGCCTACGTAGAAAATATAAATATATTCATATGCAGAATAAATCTGATTTTCCTTTTCTTTCCTCTTCTCCTTTTTTCTCTTTTTTTTTGTTTTGTTTTGTTTGTTTGTTACAGTAGGTATATACATTGCCGTCGCTCCCCATTTCTTTCTTTGTAAGCTTGCAGTTACGATGACCCTCCGTTGTCTTCGTTTTGGAACGATGTACGTTTATGTGTTCGCGTGCATAGGTTGTTCGAGAAAATTACCGGAACTCGTCCGAAGCGAAAGGGGACGAGAAGCTTCTTGGAAAAATGTTCGAAAATCGGAGATTAATGGGAAAATTGATAATTAATTGTACGATTCACTGTCTTGATGTATTTTATGAGTTTCTTTGTTATAAATTTATGGAATTGTAGCTGAGTTTAATGGTAATAGTGGGGAATGAAAGATATTAATAATTCTGTATGTTGATTTGTTACTCTCGAGTTGTAGGGAAATAGGTAAAACAGTGACTTCGAGATGTTAGTTGCAAATTAAATTTCCGAAAGAAATCGTTTCTCGAACGCCCTGTACACCCACGAAATTCACCTTTCAGCGCAGAGATATGTAAATATTTATTCGTTCGGGGCAAGTGAGTAACACATGTGCATGTACAACTTTCAAAACGCGTCGCGTGATAGTCGGAATTCGTAAAGTTCATCCGAAAAGAAGTCAGAATCACATGTGTTCCGTTTAATGTTTCCTCTCGAGAAATGGAAAACGGTCCACGTTCACGGACGAATCATCGAAAATTACCCGTTTAACCGCTTACCCTGCGAATCAATTTCAAAACTTCACCGAAAATATGACGATCTTTTATGCCTGCTTTTCAGTACTCGAACGCATTACGAAAAGTATGTTCACAATTCTTGGTCCAATCAATCATAACGAACCAATAGAAACACCAAGAACACTAAATTCGTTACTACAAAGAAAGTTTCAATTAACAGTATTTATCTTGAAAGAAATCAATTAATTTCGAGTAGAAAGGGATCGTTCCATTAATAACTCTTGGAATTCTAACTATTAACCCTTTGCACTCGAGAGGTGACTCACCACGTAATTCAATACAACAAAAATGAAGTTGAATATTTAATATTTTAAATTAAAGTCTGCATTGCTACGTGAAATATATAAATAAAACATCTTTGTCGCTTAATTTATCTATGAACTATCGTTAAATTAGTTTCAAACAATACGACCTACATCTCGTCAGAAAATGTTGAATATTTCCATGGAGAAGCTCTCGAGTGCAAAGGGTTAATCTTCGGTAGAAAGAATCGCGTAATCTGCAACTTCCGGTAGAAAATAAAATTCCGAGTGTACACGGGTTAAAGAGGCAAACGGTTAAAAGACCGCCGAAACTGCCCGGCATTCGCCGATCCGATCGTGGGAGGTAGGTACCGTCGCGGCAAGTGCGAAGGAAACAAGCGTTCCAAGTGATTCAGGGCGATTGCGAGCTTAAAAAACCGGGAGATACGAGGACACGAGGATTAAATCTTATTTAAAGCATTACTCGGTAACTCGGCAAGTTTCGCGTTTGTGCTAGAAATTGAAAAAATCGATCAAGTACGATTAAAAAGTAAGTC